CTCACTGTTCTCCAAGCGCTGGAGGCTCTTCCGGCCCTTGGCCTTGGGAACAAGGTCTGAGTTGCGCACAGCCTGATTGATAAAATGCTGCTTCCTCTTCGAGGCTGAGAACCTCTTCACATGGGAGCTGGCCAGAGCGGGCAGGCAGCCTGGCAGGGGCCTGGGGGGGTGGGGGGGGGCAGTCCTCAGGGTCCTAAGCCAGAACCCCACCATAGCTACCACTTGCTTGCTGCCTCCCAGTGACGGGAACTCCCTCCCTCCTGTGTGCCAAGTTCCAGACCCTTAAAATCTTCATTTTTGTCTCATGCTGACAAAGTGGGGGCGTGTCCCCTGTCAGTGACAGGTTAGTTAGCAAGCCCAGCACAGGGAGGGCAAGACATCTGTGTGAAGTCACAGGGCTAGCATGTGGCTAAGGCAAGCTGGTCCCATCTGTCCCAGCCCCTCTCCCCACCCCTACCCCCACCCCTTTAATTCTGGTCAGAACAGGGCCCTGGCAGCTAATCTGCCCTACTTGGAGAGAAGTGCTCTAATTGTGGAGAGATTAGAAGGCATGGCTGTGGCAGGGGCCCCCTGCAGGTACCTCAAAAGCCAGGCCATGGGCAGCAAGTGGGAAGCTGCAGGGGGCATCTAGGTTGGTAACTTCCCCACAAAGACAAAGGCCCAGGCTGGCCAGTCAGCTGCCACCGGCTCCTGGACCAGGGGCTAGAGATACCAATCCCCAGTGGGCTCACCGCCCTGACACAGTTGGGTCCCCAAAGAGTCTGGGTTACCAGGACCACCACCCCCATTGCCTAGTACCCTCCCCAGGAGGCCAAAGTGGAGACCCCTACTCCTGGGTGTGTCCCTGAGAGTAAGGCAGACCTGTCCACGCAGACCGTGCCCATGCCCACACCGATCTGCTCGCACTCGCCAAGTGCCCGTGGGTGGACAGTGGCTAAACAACGGCTAACCCTGGCACACAGGGAGTGTCACCCGAGGGCAGTCATGGCGAGGGAGAGCAATCCCTCAAAATAACCACACTCACTGCCGCAGACCCCCATAGCGACCCCATAGGATAGGGTCAAACCGCTCTGTGGGGTTCCAGAGCTGTAACTCTTGACAGGCGTGGTCAGCCCCGTCTTTCTCCCTCAGAACGGCTGTGGCTTCAAGCTGCTCACAATGCCACACCCACTAAGTCACCAGGCTGGCACTGGCCATTCCACCAAACTCACAGCCACTGAGACAATGCTGATGCACAGCGACCCGACCCTTGTGGGCAGGGCAGAACTGCCCCTGTGCGTTTCCAAGCCTGTCCATCTCTAGAGAGCCTCATCTTCCGAGGAGCAGCCAGTGGGTTTGAACCCCTGACCCCGGGGCTCCTCCGATGTAAAGAGTCCTGCAGCCTCAGATCAGTGTTCTGTATCTCAGGCTGCTGAGACCCACAGGCCGAGCATGGCGAGGGACAGGCACAGGCCCCCGTCTCCGAAGCCCAAACCACTGCAGACACGGCTGACAGGCAACGCGCACGCACGCGCACGCATGCCCAAGTACACATGGGTAGGGGACACGCAGGCAGAGGCACAGCATGGCTTCAGCCCAGAGTCAGGGCACTGGGCTCTCCCAGAACCAAGCCAGCTCCTCGCTCGGCGGCAGGGAGGAACCTCAGGCCGCGATTCAAATCCCAGTGAGGACACTTTGTGCACACTTGCACAGCAAAGTCCACGGGCATAACCCACCCCGCAGAGAGCATGGGGCTGAACAAGCGCATGCCCAGCCGTCTAAGGTGTAACTTCCAGTCTCTCCGCGCCTGGAGGAAAGAGGAGTCATGAAGATCCAAAGTCACGTGGAACCGATGGACCACGGACCACGCACACATCAGTCATCGCCACGCTGGGACCAGAAACACTCGATGGTGCCCAGCCCCCACCCACTGCTCTGAAAGGAATGCCAGGCAAAGGGGAGGAGGCGGTACGGGAGCACAAGACTGGAAATCACTGAAAAGTAGAAGTCCAGGCTGGCTGGTTGGACAGAGATGGGCGGAACCCTGGCGGTGGTCCTTGTTCCCCCTTCAGGTCTGGAAAGGGACCCAACCCCGGGGCTCAGTGTTCAGCTGCACAGATGGGTCTGTGACCAAAGAGCCGCACGCACCTTGGAACAAACCACCATTTGAGACTCAAAGAGCAGGGCTGACCCAAGGTCAAAGTTCAGAAGGGCTGGGGACAGGAAGTCAGGGAGGAGTGGGGATGAATGAGGGCCCTGCTGGGGCTGCCAGTCCATGAGGGAACGCTGTTTGGAGAACAACGTAAGGGCAAAGGAAGAAAAGGGAAGTCGCTGCAGGTGCCTGTGGGTCTGAGAGGGGCACCGGGTGCCTGGAGCAGCCAGACACCCCTCGGTCTCAGCTGCTGTGTGCTTGGTCTCCCTCTCCCACGAGGAGCCCACCCTCTCGCCACACGGGTCTCTCTCTCCACATCGCCCCACAAGGCAGAGACTACTGTTCTGAAACCCATTTTGCAGGTCTGGAAACCGAGGCACCAAGACATCTCTGCCCCAAGTTCCCACAGCTGCTGGGTGGCATGAACAGGGTGGCTGGGGCGGGACACAGTAGCCACGGCCGAGGCCCACGGCAACAACGGGCACTGATTGAGCCCCTCAGAGGGTGGCCTGCCCAGCTTGCGCCCGCCTTCAGCTAAAATTGGCCTCCGGGAGCTCCAGTGCCCGGTCCCCGGTCCTCCCTCCCCCCAGCAGGCGGAAGGCCACATGCCTGCTGGGGCTGATAACAGGGACTGTGTGGCGTAGGGCGGGGTCTTCACAGCACGTCCCTGGCCCTGCCCCATTTTACAGATGGGCCCTGACACTCAGGGGTCTGTCTCCCTGTTGCTAGGAATCAGAGGGCAGCAGATTTGAAATGCTCACCCCAAGTCATAGGGCCACCCTGCTTCCATTGTGAGTCCTAAGCAGGAGTCCACTCTGGACCACGGCCTGCCCTCCTGACACTCAGGGGAGGACCCTCGAGGCCCAGCCTGCTCATCCACCCACAGACTCTGAGCACCTTGCTGAGATGAGCACTGGAAAGGGAGTCCTACCACCAATCCGGCTGGGCTCCGGGGCAGGGAGCCACCCACTGCCAGTCCCGACCCAGAGGTGGCAGGATGAGGCCGGGCACAGGGAACCACTTGTCAGCAGGCTAGAGTCAGGCTGGCAGTGCCAGGGGATGTGTAAATAAGCTTATCCACTCAACAACACCCGTCTCACTCCTCCCTCTGGCTCAGTCAGCCCCAGGGCCCTCCCTGGACCTGACTCACGGACCAGCCTGGGCTCTGGCCCTCCAGCTCAGCCGAGAACATAGCTTCCTGGAGCAGCCACCTCGGGTGGGCTTCCACTGACAGCCCCTCACAGACACCAGCTCCCACTGCCCGTTGGCTGAAAGAATAGCTAGCCTGCTGTCAACTCCCACCTGAACTCAGGCCTGAGAGGACTGCCAGGGCTCAGGGACCACCCACCCTGGGGACTGTCTCTGGTAACCTCAGAGTCCTGCTGAGGCCACAGGCCTGGCCAGGGGCAGCCCTCAGCCAGAGCCCAAGCCCAGGGTGTGGAAAAGCGGCGGCAGCGCCCAGGGCAGTGGCTGGGGGGCTCTGGAGGGCTGGCCATCCTTTGGTATCTTGGCTCTGTCCCCTGTGAATTTTGCTGCTGCACCTCTGACACCTGGCCAGCCTTCCTTGGCACACGCCCAGGGGAGGGGCAAGAAGGAACCCACTTCCCGGAGCAGGAAACAGGTTGCAGAGCGGAGGTGACTCAGCCAGCTGGGCTGGCTGGGGGCCCTGGGTTATCAGCAACCCCTAGGACAAGGGGAGGGGCCCATGGGGCGTTCTGAGGCAGGTCTGCCTGGCAGGAGACTATGCAGCCAGCACACACTTGGGGGGATGGGGGGGACAAGGGACACAAAGGGGGGGGTAAGTGTGACGTGAGCGTGGGCCACACTGCATCTAAGCACAGATACTTTGCGCACCTGCCCACCTGTGTTAGGTGTTTAAAAGACCCAAAGAGAAGCTAACGGCAGGGGGCAGGGGTAGGGCCCACCCAGGGTACACCCCATCTCAGGGGACTGGAATTCCCCCTAAAAGGGACTTTTGTTCCAGATGCCCATGGTGGTGGGGGGCCCCCAACCTCTGGGACTGGGTGTGTTAAATGAAGTCCTGCTAACAAGAGCCCCAGTGGCACAAGTGCTCAGAGATAACCCAAAGGCCAGGGGTTCAAACCCACAGGGCATCATCTGGTGCACCCACAATGGTGACAATAGAGAAAAACCCTCCAGGCCAGTTGGAGGCTGTGGGGGTAGGGTAAGGGGGGGTGTCCCTGTGACTCAGAAAGGGTCCCACAGCCCCTAACGACAAGCTCACAGCTGTGGTGAGACAAGAAGCTCTATTCACAGGACGCTAAGACAGAAACCTTGGACAGAAAACACGTGAGATGTTTACATGGAATCGGTTTGCCCAAACCTCCCAGCGGCAGGTCACACTGGGCGCTCCGAACAACTGGCACGCACGGGGTGAGGGCGCCTTTCGCAGGGAGGGAGACTGAGGCACAGCCAACGTGGAAGATAACGGGGAGGAGACAGGGAGGGAGGGGCCAGGCAGCCAGACTGGGGGGTCCTTCCCACCGGCCCCCACCAGCTGGGTTAAAGGGCTAGACAGCGCTGGGGAAACACCGGCATACGGTCCCGCCCCACCCCTGTAATCTGGGTGCTGACTCAGAAAAACAGCCAACAGGCTGTCTACCTAGGAGGGGGGCTGGTCACCGGAGAGGCTCGGGGGCACCCCCACCCCAAATTAGGCAGCGAGTAGGGAACTGTCTGACATCACAACAATACAACAACCCCGCGGGTAAAGGCCCCCAGGTGGGTGGGCCCTGACACTCAGGGGTCTGTCTCCCTGTTGCTAGGAATCAGAGGGCAGCAGATTTGAACTGCTCACCCCCTGCACACACACACACACATCCCGGAAGATGGAAAGGCTAATACGGGGCGTGCCCCCCCAGAAACACCCACAAACCGGTGGGCTGCTGTCGCGCCCTCGGGTGACCCCCGCCCCGGAGGTGACCCCGCCCCGGAGATGACCCCTCCCGGGAGGTAAACTGAGGAAGGGGGCCGGGCCCTGGCTGCGGGTGCAGACCGGGCGGGGGTTCCCGCCCGCCGCCCGCG